TGTGGAACTTTTCCCATGGGCGAGAACATCTGGGCATTCTGTAGGCTTGAATTCAGAGATTCACTTATTCAATATGTACTTGCTTTGTTTTTTCCATATTTCATTATTCAATTAATAAACATGTATTGAGTTGTTACTGGTAAATATATATTCAATATATCTTTTTTTGGGGGGGAGGGGGGTTCCAGGGATTGAATTCATGTGTAGTTGATCACTGAGCCACAACCCCAGCCCTATTTTGTATTTTATTTAGAGACAGGGTCTCACTGAATGGCTTAGCACCTCACTTTTGCTGAGGTTTGCTTTGAACTCGTGATCCTCCTGCCTCAGCCTTGCCAGCCGTTGTGATTACAGGTGTGAGTTACCGCACCTGGATTCAATACATCTTTAAGGAGGATCCTGTTGCATAGCTACATAACACTTTTTATTGTTAATAATTATTATCAATAAAAAGGCAGACTTGACTTAAAGAGTTAATTTTGTTAATGGAAAGGAAAAGTGTATATGGAATAAAGATAAATAATTCTATATAACAGAGCATGGTTCAGGTCCAAGAGAAGGAGAAAAGTTATAGGTGTTGGAAGATAGGGAGAGTGACTATAGGGTTGGGGTGGACAGGAAGGGTTTAGGACCATCTTAGGCACATAAGAATATTAGCACAGGTAGAGGGGATGAGAGAGATCACAGTAGGAAGGGGAACAGTCTGTGCAAAATCAGTGAGTTAGGTATGATTAAAAGGCATTTGAATTTTGTAAGAATTTAGGTTGATGCAAAGGGAAAGCTTGTCTGAGAGACTCATGTAGGCAGTGATGGGTGATGGGATCAGTCTTGCATTTGGAGAAGTATTCCAAGTTAGGAGAAGAATTTTGAGGAATTTTTCTATTCTTTTTGTAAATTTATAAAAAAAATTATTAGTATAATTAAAAACAGGGGAATGAGAGTGATCAAATTATGTTATGGGCATATAGGAATATGGTATAATGAACTTCATTATGATGTATAATTGTAATGCACCAACAAAAAATAATAAAAATAAATAATAATATTTTAAAATATCAAAGAGTACTAGAGACCACAGAAAGTAAAAGGAGAGTATAGAAAACAGCAGAGCAGATGGAAATGAGAAAGTCGCTATAAAATATCAGAAAACATCTCTGAGGCTGCAGAAATTGGAGGATCCAAGATGAAGGCAAAGCCCTGATTGAGTCTTTATTTCAAGTTTCTGTTACTTTTGTTCCGAACACAGAATTAGAAGTTGCAAAAGTCTGGAGGAGGAGGTTGCAGAGGAAGAGAACACAGAAAAATGGGGAGAAGATAGATGGAGAGAGAGCAGTACATTGCACTTGCTCAGTGAGGTGAAAGATAAAAGAAAATTAATCAAAATTAATGTGAGGTAGGCTGGGAGTTAAACCCACAAAGTCAGGTGTGCAAGAAAATGTAACTATTTTTTTTTAATATAAATGACTCTCCTTTTCAAGCCTCTGTTCTCCAGGGAACAAAAAATACAATCTCAAATCCTTTTAGCTTCCTCTTGTCAAATGCCACGCATGTCTCTTGTTTCTGGGGACTTCAGTAATACTATGGTGATAGAGGTGGCTGGAGGGTTTGGGATATCTGCCTTTGGTTGACATCTGTCTCCCACCCCCACGGCATGAGCCAGTCCTGCCAATCACTACTTCATATATATGGCCTCTGAGGCACTACTTGTTTTTAGCCTATAAGGTATTCAAATTCTTTCATGGTGTCTTCTGCTTTTCTCTCTTTCACTGAAGAATCCATGGTACTTGTGTCATATTGCGGGCAGAGAAGTTCAAAAGCCTGTCTTCCTGGAAGGACCGTGCAGTACCATATTTACAAAAGCCTTGCTATCTCCCTGGAGTTCCATCATAGGAATTCCTTATTTTCAGCAACACACACTAATCTGAGGGTTTGGTCCCCTGTCCTTCCATATGCCATCCCCAAGACCCAGTCCAAGTAGGATTAAATTGATTCCAGGTTTTCTGCCCTTTTTCTTCAACTTTCTTCCTTCCCACAAATCTAGGGAATTGTCTCTTCTTGAGGGCAGATCACACTCTAACATCCTCCCAAATCCTCCTTTCTCCCATCTCTTCCCATTTCCAACAAAGCAGAAATTTTGTAAAATTTTAACTATGTCTATATCTCTTACTGGTAATTGATCCTTATGATAATAGGGAGGACCTAGTCTCTTGTGATAGAAATAAATGGGGACCCAGAAACTGAAGACATTTGACATAGATCAATGAGAATGCAGAGCTGGGAGAATGATCAGAACCTTCATCTTTGTAACAATCATGATTGAGATCTAGGCAGAGAGAGGAGAGCTGGCTTCCAGCCCGGAATGTTTACACTGAACATCTAGATAGTCAATCTAGAGTGACCCTTGGGGTCTTGATGAAGATTTCTCAAAGGCAGTCTGAGCCTGACTTTAGGAGCATGGACAGTTAGGATGCAAATATCTAGCAGTGTTTCCAGTTTGCTCACTCTAACACCCAGATGTAGCAGTCAGATTCTGACTTGATCTTCCAATTAGGACAATTTGACATCATAACAGAAGGGTTTAGTCACCTTGGTAAACAACTGCATGTAGATTGTTCTAATATTAAGTTGTTCTTCCAACCAAAGAAAACAAACTTGAACAGAAACAATATTGGAGCAGGTGTTCTAGCTGTTGGAGAAATGTCATGAGAGTGACTTTTCTACACCACTTTGTTTGTCTTTTAATAACAGATTATTTATTAGAAGCATTGCTTTTTTCTATGTGTGTCATTTTTTAAAATTCACATCTAACATTTTCTTTTCCAGAGAATTTGTGGTCCTGTTTTAACTTAAAAAACCCTGTTCTATGCTTATTTGGAACCCAATGTAATTTTAAGCAATGTACTTCTAATATTTTTGTCTTTTTGGGGGGGGTTTGAGCCCCAAATATTGCATATAAGAGACTAGAGAAATTAAAACAACAAAGCAAAACTGTTTTCCATGTTCATCAATTGAAAAATCTGGATGGAAGAGAATGTGAAATAAATTATTTTTTTGATATTTTAATAAGATGACAAAACACAGACATTCAGGAATTGATAATGTTTTTTTTTTTTTTTTAGTGTGAAAAGAACATTAGTACAAAATAACACCTTCCCCATATCAGACCAGTTGAAAGCAAAAGGGATTCCATTTTCTAGGTATTTTATTTGTTTAAAATTAAGTTTCCTGATTTAAAATTTTTAAGAAAAGACAATAGAGATGTGAAATAACCAACCAATATTTTGCAGAATACTAAACAACCCTTAGGAAGGCTTCATAGAATGTCCATTTTTCCCTGTGATTTTTATCCAACATGTTTTTAATTTGGATGATTCCAATTCTACCCCATTTTTTCATCATTTTTCAAGCAGCATTATCACAAATCAGGCAATCAATAGGGACCCAGAGGAAGAGAACATTAGATCCGTTCCTGGGAACACAGGGGAGACGCATGTGAAAACTGGGGCAATTGCCTCAAAATTGGGGCATGTGGCACTCTAAAAGACTCCCCTGCCTTTGAGAAGACTCTCCTCAGGAATTTCCTGTTATCCTCTTGAGACTATATCAAGTTGGTTTTGATGTAACACTGTGAAAATGCTACAGATGCAGCAAGAGAAATCATCTCTTTCCTAAGATGATTATTAAAAACAAAGAACTCGTGTCAAAAATAAGTCAACTTAGTGTAGGAATTTAATAAGCACTGACTAGTGGAAGGGAGGAAAGGGGAACCTTGGACGTGTACTCTTTAGGAGCTCGTCTTCCGTAACCTGGGTGGTTGAGTAAGTAGGGTCAGTTAGAAGGGAATGTAAGCCAAAGACAGTGCGTAGACAATGAAAAGGATCTGTTTATAAAATCAGTGATGGCCATATCTGTTGGTAGTTAAGTGTCATTCCTAAGGTATAGCGTTTCCCATGAGGAACGTCAACTAGGCAAATAAAATAGTCAACAGTCACTTCACAATTTACTACTCTAATAGAAGACAAAAATGTAGTGTGCTATTGGGATACTTAGTTATTAATTGGGGCTTCCATTGCCATTCATAAATTTTCACAAAGTCTTAGAATTTAGGAAAGAGGCTGAAAAAGGAAAAGATAGTGGTGAGAATGTGTAAATGCCATCCAAGTTCAGGTGATCACTGCTGCTCCAACACAGCTAGCAGACACTCCCTGTGCTCTTATCAAGTGACAGGAAGGATCCTAAGAGCTCTCTGTGCATAACTTAATTCAATCCTCCCAGAAATGGGAACAACAAAATGGGATTTACAGAAAGAGAAGCTAAAGTGCAGAGAGTTTGGACAACGAGTCAAAGAACAGTGGTACTAAGGAGCAGAACTGGGATCCAAAGCACATGCATATGGTTCTTCATAGTGAGAACCCTGTGCTGCATCTGTGGCAGCAGAACAAAACACAACCTGGGCCTGAGATCAAGGAGGGTGTGCACAGTTCATCAGGTGTGGGGTATTGTTTTAAAGGCTTCCTAATTGATGATTTAAGAATAATTTCATCATAGAAAATAGTTTTGAAATAAATAGTTGAACAAGTAGCTACCTAATACCATGCTCATTATAATAAACAATATATCTTAGTTCTTTGGAACATCGTTGCCAAATATTTCTATCTTTCTTTTGAGATAAACTATCTGAACTCATGAGCCATTGGTCATGCTAGATGATTTAGTTAGTGTTCACTAACAAAATTTCTCTGAGGCATTGAATTAAATTTTATTGAAAGATGTTTAAATATTGAACAACAATCATGTACCCTAAGTTGAAAACTGACTTTTTAAAAACAAGACTAAGGGCTTAAAATAATTCCAGTTGGAAATTTCCATCTCTTTTTCTGATCATTTTGGGGTAAGAAGTGTATAGAACTCATTCTAAATGGAAAAACAAAGAAGTCCCCCCCCGCCCCGCCCCCAGGACATTATGTTATAATTATGTCTACATTTCATTTGTCTTTTAGAAAATACCACAAAGAGAAGAACCCAGGTATTTGAGGGACAGTTTTCAACGTGTGATGGAAGAATAACACTCCACGGAGAAATGAAAGGTTTTTCTCCCCCTGGTTCACCTGAGCATCCAGCACCCGATGCACGTGATAGGATAGCATGGTGTAGGTCAAGGACAAACACGTGGTTACATCTTTGCCTCTCTGAAACACTGGCCTTTGTGGACATTGTGCCAGCCCTCTTTTCACTGTTCGCGCAGCTTGCAGGCCTTTTCCCTAATTTTTTTTTTTTAATATTTATTTTTCAATTTTCGGTGAACACAACATCTTTATTTTATTTTATGTGGTGCTGAGGATCCGACCCAGCGCTCGGAGCATGCCAGGTGAGCACGTTACCGCTTGAGCCACACTGCCAGCCCCCAGTCCTTCTTTATGTGATTGTTCCTTCCTAGTTTTAGTAACGTACTTCAATTGTGGGAAAGTCCTTTCTTTGCCACTCAGATAGAAACTGGGCAGCACTTTAAAGATGTTTGCAGCTCTTTCTCCAGAAATTCATTATGGTTGCTTCTCTCTGAAATTTCTTCTATGCCAATCATTTTGTACCTTTCTTCCTTTCCATTTTTTTTTTTTTTTTTTCATGAAGGAAACACAGTGTTATCCAAAATTATCAGACAAGATCAAGGCAGATGAAGACTCCCTGGATGTCATGAAGTTTCCATGAAGCCTGTCTGGACTTGTAATATGTACCACCATTAAAGGCCATGCCTAGGCTTTCTCTGTTGGTATCTGGCACATGTGAGGTATACTGCCAATATTTTGACAGTATCAATTAATGATCAATCAGAAATGGATGAAGAAAAAGGATGTTTTTGTGAGACATTTAGAGATCATTTTAGAAATGGACCCATTTCATTTCCAAAGAAATTTTACGTTCAAGTTAAAAAAAAAATCACCCAAATGAGATTTTGGCGAATTTCATCTGATCGACTCTTTACATTATTTTGTAGTAATTATACTGAAATCTCTATTTATGTAAACACAGTAAATGCATCATAACTCCAGAATAAGTGTACAAATACTGCATGTCAAATTAGGTTATAATCACTTTCAAGGGACGTGATTTCCTAGCTAAACAGTTTCGTTTACATTTTGCAAAATAAAAAATAAGTGAAAATAACTATATAAAATCAGGCTTACAGCTGGACAGAACTGCTTGGCAATGGTCCAGATACTGAGCAGGGAAAGCCCCTCCAGCTGAGGAGCGTGCAGGACTTTGCAGGCTTGGCCTGGAGAGATGCCCTTGTGGCTGCTGTCCTGTCTGTGTACCCTGTCCCCGGCTACCTGTGGGGAGAGGAGGCAAATTAACATTTAAGATGAGATTCTTGCTGTGAGAGGATCTGTGTTGAGTAGGGTAGAAACTTGCTTAGTAGAAGGGAAAAGAAGGCAACTCAACATTTCACACTTAAGTAAAAAGTCAGGGGTCCCCTAACTAAAAATGGTTGAAGCTAGCAATGGAGTCATTGAATTTCAGTGTCAGCTTTGAATATCATGGATCTTTGGGTCCAGCCCTGTAATATGGAGAAGGAAATACTGGCTATAGGGTAAGAAGCTGGACTAGGACTGAGCCCTAGAACTTTGCTTCCCAAATCTGGGACTCATTTATAAGATAACGGAAGGTCATCCTTTCAAGAGAGAGGATTACTTTAAAGCTATTTGTTTGGATACCTATCTTTAAAAAAATACATTCTATCCTTAGCATTCCGTAAAAATAAACAAATCAAATGAAAGCATGCTGTCTATCTACAACTACAATAAAAAGAATTTAAAAAATACATTTGCCATATCTCTTACTTGACCAACACTTTCTGCAACATACCCTTATGTTGGATATATACTTACGAAGGGCATAATTGTAAACCTAGTTATTATGTAATATTATGTAATTCAGTGGCATTGTCTGTAGCCAACTGGTTGGGCAGAATTTCTTTCTTTTTTTTTAAATAGCTTTGATAAACTGCATTTGGTTGTCTTTCCTCTACATCCCCTTAAAGTTCATTTGCTACTTTTGTTTGTTAATTCCAAAACATCCATGAAACAAAAACAAATTTTTGAAGAAATTGATTCTGATTTAGAGATAACTCCATATTTGTATGTTTAAAGTACATGTGTATATGTGTCTGTAGTTTTAGTTTAATTGATACTATTTTGTATTCAAAATATATTTTTGAACACTGACTCTCTGCTGTACTGTGTATACCTTTATGTCTTTCCACACTCCATTTGTTGAATTGCCTTGGGCAGAGGTTGGCAATCTAGGGCATATGAACCAAAATGTAGTCCACTTCCTGATTTTGTAAATAAAGATTTATTGAAACAGTTATACTCATTTATTTGCATATTGCCCATAGTTGTTTTTGCACTATGATGGCAAAGTTGAATATATGTGATGGAGACTCTGTGGGCCACAAATAACAAAAAGTATTTGCCATTTGGCCAGGAATAGAACACTTTGCAAACCTGTGATCTTGAGTGTAAACATTTGATTATCCATCTGGCTGGATAAGACAGCTAAATACAATAGATGACACCAACTGCAGCCACACAGCACACTCCTGTGTCTGTGTCCACGAGAAATAATCATTGCACTCCACTACAAAAGCAGAACTAGTAAAATCTTAGTCTTCCGAGAACGAAGAATCTCTTAGATTTGTTTAATTATTTTCAAACAGGGTTCCTAGAACCATCTCTAATTTATACTAATACACAAACTTGTAGCTTTTGTGTTACAAATTTATTGTTATTTCTTTTACCTCCTTTTTTTTCAGGAAAAAGGTAATTAGGCTATAAACAGAGGTCTGACAACTAATTTCAGTCAAGGCAAAATTAATACAAAACAAGCAGATAATTTTAGCTGTATGAAATTAAAATAGATATATTTTAATGACATTTAAAAAAATCCAAGTGGAATGCTTTTGCCTTGCTTTCCCCCCCTCCTTCCCAGGTCTCATGCAGACTGACACTCTGTGTAGATGGTAACACATACTGATGTGAGTGAATGGCCAGTCCTGTGCTCTGGCCAGCGTTACCTCTCCTTCCTCCTGTCCCACTATTGATCTTAGGGTGCAGAGACTCTTGTTCTCTTTTCTTCCCAGGGGTTTCTCTATGTGAAAGAGACAATATCCTCTAAGGGAAGGGTGTTCGCTCCCTACCCCTTAAGTGTTTCAAATGTTCATCAACATTCCTAAGATCCAGTTTGTTAAATCTATACTGCGGCTTCAGGAATTCAAAGGTTAGTGGCATTATGTGTGTGGGTGTGCGTGCATGTGTATTTCTAAGGGAAGATTCCAACATTGCTGTGCTCTGTCACTCCAGGAACATATTAAATATGCATCTCAATGTCAGCAGCACCTTGAGATGTTATCTCCAAAATTATCACCTGCCTTCTGAAAACCACAACCCTAAAAATATTGATTGGTTAAAAGGCAGGATCTGAAGGGATGAGTCAGTGTCTTCCTGGATTATCCTAATCAAATAAGGATAGTATTAACCCAGATACTCACTGATCTGCCAGTATTTGGTTTGAAATGTAGGCATCTCAACTAAAGTTATGTGTTTCATTCTTTTGAATATTTCTCCCAGACATTTAAATACATTACCACTAAGCCAGAACCAAGAAAAGCATAAAAAGCATTTTAGGGAATAAATTTAGCAAGTTTCCATTTGTACCAGATAGTAAAATTGTTGACATGCATTACGAGGCATGTGCATTTTTCAGCCTGTCAGGCCTCAGTCACATACTCCAGGTATAATAGTTCAGCTGTCTGCCAGGGGTTATGTAGGAGGGTCTCAGACCCTTAGGAACAATACTTCCTCATAAAGGTTCAGATAGTTTCCAAGTCACCTGGCAGCTTTATTTAGGCAAGTCAGAAGAAAAACTTATTTCATTAATTATGCTACAAATGTAACTTCAGTGAAAGGTAGCCAACTAAATACAAGATGAAAAGACTGGTAGGAATTCTCTCCATCCAAGTGTTGAGCTTTATGCAATTTTATTTAGAGGCACTTCCATTACTGAGGAAGCTATGAGTTGATCGACTGTGTCTTAGAATTAACTACAGTGGTGAAAACACAAATTGCAAACCAGCATGAAGTCACAAAGGGAAAGGAGGAAAGGGAGGATGTAAAAGTCAGGAGCTCCTATGTACTATTTATTTTCCTTTATGTGAATTAAGTACTGGACCAGCTGCCCAGAGTCCAACATTTGTAGGAGCGAACCTCATTATTGGTAGGCGGAGGGCCTAATGAGAGGTGCTACACATGCAGGGGCTTCCTTTCTCCTCTCATTTGATTCAGTTTACAGCGGAGTCTAGATTTTTGTTGGATGCAAGTGATTATGTTCCCTTTGCTCGATGTGATAGAATAAAATATGATTGGGAAGAAAAGGAAGGATCTAGATCTAGAAAGAATCTTGGTACCAATTTTGTGGAGTATTAAGGAAGGTGACAGCATGATATTGCTTTTAACCAGGGGAGAGGGAGATGCTAGTTTGGAGCTCACTTGATGTCATCACAGACTTTGAGGTCTCTGCTGGGCCCTCCTCCTTCCTCCCAGGGTTTATTAACCGTACCATTCTCTGTGCTTCCTCTGTCCCTTTCATTGTAGAAACCTAGCCCTTATCAAAATTGAGCTTTAATCCACACCAGAGAGTATTCATGATTTTTACAACTACAATAAAAAAATTAAAAAGTTACTTATTCTCAATGCACATGTAGATTTCTGGAAGTAGCCATGTGCTAATACTGGCTCCAAAGGAACTCAGCTCACAAAAGCCAACTGAGCACACCTCTTTCCACCTTCATGTGTAGTGATATAATGCTGATAGTTTGGAATCATCCGTGGTAGGAACACTTACACTATGGAAATGGGCAAACACTGTATGTAGATTATAATCTGCCTCTATGTCTCCAGCCCACACTGGGGATTGATGGTCTAACATGTACCAGCATACAGCAGGCTAGAAATCTTAGCACTGGGTTTCTTAGTGCTTAGAATCCATTCCAACATGCTTGATACGTAAGATATGACACCAAGCATTTTGTGAAAGCTTTTGAGTGTATTCCCTTGGGGTCTTAGAAATCGTGTAGGAGAACATCAAAGTATCTTTCCAAAAGGGAGAGTGAGGTTTGGGAGTAAAATTAGCTACTTGTTTAAGGCTATGGGTGTTTGTGAACATGTGAGTGTGCTTTAAATTACACATAATTTTAAACAACTGTGTAAAAAGAGTTTTAAAAGTTTAATGGTGCTGAACCAAGCATAGGAATTAAAAATTGAAAAGAAAAGACGAAACTATACCTTGTTGTTCTGCTTTAAAATATAAGTTTCCTTCTCATTTGCAATTAAGATGCTGAGAATTTGCATAAAATGTGTAAAATTAGAGATAATTGAACTACAGTAGCTATAAAAGTGGCTTTTCCATTTAAAAAATAAATCAGATGTCCAGTAAAAGGGTGTAAGAGCCATTCCCCTCTCTCCCATTTGGATCTCTGGTATTTTTCACACTTTTATAGCTGATTTTTATTGCCAAACAATCAGGGGAGTTGGTGGCAGCTTGGAGATGGCAGCAGGCCCAGGCAAGCCTGTTAACTCTGGCATGTTAAGGACCTTTTAGAAGATTCAAATCCAGCCTCAGCACCCAGGTCAGCAGATCAGATCCAGGGAGACCTCAGGGAGGCTGCAGTGAGGGTGGGAAGAAAGCAGGACATGGAGAAAAAGAGACAAGAAAAGCCAAAGTACAGAAATGCCTTTAAACTAAACATCAATAGCTGTTTCTGTTTCCCCTGGAAACCTCAAGTTTAAAGGGACCAATCTGGAAAAGAGTACATCAATGATCAAAGTGGTCACAAATGATGGCCTCGGACTGGTGTTTACGCTTTGACTGGAGGAGATTTTCCTCCCAGGATAAGGTACAGTCTTCATCCTGAAGGTGACGGCAGGAGCAGCTAGCTGTAAGCAACTTTATGAACACCTCTAAGGCCTGTATCTGACTGCCCACCTCTCCCTTTGGACCTCAGGCATGGGAAGATGTAAGCTATTTGTTTTGCTCTTCTACTGAGATATTTATAATATTGAATATTGGTGGGTATTCTCTTTGTTCTGTTTCATCTTTCCTCCTCCATGAACGTGTAAACCCTTCAAGGGCAGAGGCTCTGTTTCTAAGCAGAGCATTGGTGGTGGTGGTGGTAGAGGGCAGCTGAGTAGATTTCACAGATATTGAAAGTTCCAAATTAGGCTATGTTCATGTGTGAATACACCACTACAATTATACCCATACATATAATGGGTATAATTGTAATGCACCAATTAAAATAATAGTAACAATAATAGAAGAGTCATCAGTGGATTAGAGCAAGATGATCACTGGGAGGAAAGAGAGGAGGGAAAGGGAAAGTACTGGGAGATGAGATTGATTAAATTATATTATGTGCATATAAAAATATTGCCTAGCAAATCTTACATTATGTATAATGATAAAGCACCAATAAAAATAATTTTTTTCAATAAAAGAAATTGCCCACCTGGGAAAGAATGCTGAAATCTCAGAAATGTGACAAAGCTCTTGAAGCTATATAAATGGGAAAAAATGCCAGCTATAGTTCTGTTTCTTCTGATATAGGTTACAAGCCATATTTTTTAAAACCACTCATGATAACAGGAATAAAAATGTGGGGTGAAGATCTCCTATACTAAGTCACTGAATCTGCGACTCTCAAACATCTACTCCTGCTGTGTCTGTGTTTTAGGCAATAGGTCCCAGTGCACCAGGGTGGGATGGTCAGCTCTGTTTGGAGGGCCTTTTCCTGGACAGTTCTTTGCTGTTGTGGTCCTACTCAATCTATAGCATCTCTTTAAAATGACATTTTAAAAGAAAATCCTACAGATCTCTTAGATTTCTATCCTCTCTTTGGAAGTTATTATCTGATTTGGTAATAGGGAGTAGGGTTATTGATTTAGTATGTGACCCCTGCCTAGTAGCTTGGTTGCCTTCAACCTGGGGAATCCTGGAGATGATACTTCAACCTATGATAGCAATTCTGGTATCGAAGACACCAGAGAAGGCCAGTGGGAGTTAATGACAGCAGAATGCAAATACTGAGCATCCTGCTGACCATCCTGTCGTCTTTTCCATTTTTTCCAGTAGGACAATCTGGATGTGCTCTCTTCTTTGCTAACTATCCATGCATCTTTTTTTTAATTTCATGGCATACCCATTTCCCATTAAGAATCAACATAAATTTAAAACTTTTACCATGTGAAGGTGTATGAGAGAAGATTTATTAGTATTTAATAACATGTTTTAAATCCACGTAATATATAAGGTATGTGATA